AACACACCATCCCCACTGTCAAACATGGTGGTGGCAGCATCATGGTTTGGGCTTGCTTTTCGTCAGCAGGGACAGAGAAGATGGTCAGAATTGATGGTAAGATGGATGGAGCCAAATACAGGACCATTCTGGAAGAAAACCTGTTTGAGTCTGCAAGAGACCTGAGACTGGGACGGAGATTTATCTTCCAACAAGACAATGATCCAAAACATTGGTTACGTATTGTAACCCCAGATTCTATGAGTATAGGCACAGCCCTTTAAGCTATCGCTAGTGGGATTAGGATTTTTTACCTGGATTATTGAGCATGGACTTACTTCTATCGCTAGTGGTTTCATCCCGTCGCGCAGCGCAGCACTGAAAACTTTACTCTACTCCCACCTACTGTGTGGGTCTCATCCCCGGTCCGTATAAATTATGTTGAGACCGGGTAATCAGCTCCCAAATAGCTTTTTTCTTCAGCCATTTAGGAATCAGTGAGGCCCAGAGCTTAAAGGGCTGCACCTATAGTCATAGAATCAGGGGTTACAATACATAACCAACGTTCTATTTCGTATAGGCTCCGCCCTTTAAGCTATCACTAGTGGGTTAAAGGCGAAGCAGGATGTAGTCTATGCCTCACTGGGTCCATTCAGACACAACATGAAGTACTTGCTTGCACAACAAAACATTTCATCACTCAGCCTTCTGTGTGCGTTATTACGCGCTGCATAATCGCGTGCTCCATGCGCAGGAGGGCACCGGAGAAAAGATCTCTGGTTAGGAAAAAGACTGAGATAGCAGACCTGCTGCTGTGAATAAGAACAATAGAGGATACGAATTGTAACAGTGTAATGATGAACAGAGCAGACCAACAGCTCCTCAGGATGAACCGATTAATAACGATAAAATCAGCAGTCATGAACTTGCGACTGATAATAAATATCTCACACTGCGACTGCATGCAGGCAGGTGTGAGCTCAAAAGTGAGGCTCCATGAAACAAATAATAATCATTCTGTCAGAACACTGAGAACGGAATGGGTCATGGAGAAAGTAGAAACATCACGTAGATAAAAAATGAATAATTGAACATGGCGATGATCCGGCAGCCGCCATACAAAAATCCTCTACCATCATCCCTCCCTGCAGAGCCATGAAGGATGAAAACCCTCTGCAAGAATGTGCTGAGATTCTCTGGAGGATCCAGTCCAGATGAACTGTAAACTTCAGAAATAGCCTCACACAACCAGTGTGAGAGTCTGCGGCAGCGGAACCATGATGTGGGCCGCTGACATCATCCCAGGCGTCGCATGACAGGCAGACTGTCACTATGCTGCAGGGTTTGACACGGCGGAGCTGGGTTTGACACGGCGGAGCTGGGTTTGACACGGCGGAGTTGAGCTGACATATCTTCGGCTCTCAGCTGTGATAAATGGCTCTCATTGTAGTTGAGTTTAGCTCCACTTTCAGATAAACAATCATCTGGGACAGACGAACTGAATTTTTTCCCAGTTTGTAGAAATCCCAGGTTTAGCAGGTGCAACACTAGCGTTTTGGTCTGTGCGACAGCTTTCTAACTGGACCGAGCTAATAAGAGCAGATCGTCCAGATAAAAAGATTTCTCATTCCTGCCATGTGTAATGACTGCAGTGCCGTCTCCACGCATTTCGAGAACGTGCGTGGGGTGTTTCAGAATGATGGAAATGTGAAAATATGCGCTCTTCAGATCTATGGAGGTGAAAACTAGTTGTTCTGGTGAAGTTCTCCAACAGCTGTTTGTCAGCATGTAGAATTGTCTCCCCATGATCGAATTGCTGAACATGAACAGGTCGAGAATGGTCTCATCCCTCCAGTTTTTTATCAGAACCAGGAAGTAGTGGGAGGAAAAAACCCCGTATTTTCCTCTACTTTGGGAACTCTGGAAATCAAGTTTTTCGTCAGAAATTCCTGAACTTCTGATTGGAGAGACGAGCTCTGTTCTGGAGAAGACAGAACCGTCTCTATACTCCCTCTGAACGGTGGGGGTTGAGCTGCGAACTGCAGCGTGTAACCCCTTCTGATCAGACGGTCCATCCATCTGTCCAGGGAACACACTCTGTGCCACTCTGAGTAGCGCTCGAAGAGCAGGCACGCATTTGTGTTGTGTCATGTTTCTCATGAACGTCAACCAGACTAAAAAATCTTTACTGCTATCACCCGCTCCGGAGATTCTCTGGGGAAACCCAAGGGGGGCTACAACATAAAAAAGGGCTGTATGCGTGCCTCTGTGCTGAGCCCAGGCTGCGGTCTCACATAGAGCTGAGAAGAGCCGGTGCGCACCGAGAGGAGGCGTGGGGGGGAGGGGCAATTTTTCAGCCTAACTGAAAAATGTTAGGCTTAAAGTAGTTTTCACACCTGATAGTCCTGTAGACTTGGTTCGGTTGGGGACCAATATTCATAACATTTTGTTTTCATTTGAGCTGTTGCATTTGCATTCACACTGCACTGTGCAGTCGAGCCAACCTGTTTGAACCAACCTGTTCCTCCACTCGCCTGTGGGGGCGCTGCACCAAGAACTACTGAAAGAAACGACGCAAGATAAGAGAAATGCGTGTTTGTTTGCCCTTTGCTGTACTACATTCACACTGCACTCGAACCACGCAGGAGTTTTCTACCGGACCAAGACCTAGGTTTTAGCCCGGGCCAGAGTTTGCCTTTTTGTTCCGTGACAGAGTTCGATGGTGAGTTCACACCTCCCCAAACGATCCAGACTTCCTAGGAAAACAAGCTAGAGTTCGATTAAAGCGGACTAAACTGCTGGTGTTAATGCACCCTAAGACTTTCCTTTTTGCTAAATCCTATAGTTGGGGTCGGCTTGGGTTTCTTGAGTTGTCCCTTAGTTATGCTGCTATAGGCTTAGACTGCTGGAGGACAAACTGACCACACTTTTCACTCTGCTACTGTCTTTACTTACTCTGCTCAACCTGTTTTGTATTTGTAATTATTTTTTCTATCCTTAACATGTTTTTGTCTTTCAGATATACCTGGACCTATATCTGGACCTGTCATTCTGTGTTCGTCTGTCTCTCCTTCCTGTCCTCTCAACCAGCCGGTCAAAGCAGATGGTCTCTTGTCCTGAGCTGGTTCTGCTGGAGGTTTCTTCCTGTTAAAGGGAGTTTTTCTTTCCACTGTCTCCACTGTTCTTGCTCAGGATGGGAGACTGCAACGAAGCCAAGATTCATCTTGTCTGCTGGATTCCTTAGATAGAGAACTTTACTAATTGGCTTTTATGTGAATGTTCCTGTAAAGTGCCTGAGACAACTTTGTTGTGATTTGGCGCTATATAAATAAACTGAATTAAATTGAATTGTAGAGATCTAGTAGAGTGCTGTATGAATGGGTAAATGAGGCACAGATTGTAGTGTAAAGAGCTTTGAGTATCTGGATAAGATCGAAAGGCACTATATAAGTACAGGCCATTTACCATTTAATTTCCTAGCTAATTTGACAGAAATTCTGTTACCTCAAGACTGAGTTTTTATTTATTTATTTTATGTTTATGTTCCTTTTCTTCATCTTCTGTCGTCGTGCCGACAATTCAGACCAGTGCTGTTGTTTTGACAGAAAGTTTTGTGTTGCATTTGTGATTACCGGTTTAGTCAAACAGAAGGTAATGAGCTGTGTGATTTGGTTTTCTCTAAACCGAAATCTCAAGGCTTCCATCTCTTTCCATGTTCACCAAACAGTTTATAAAACACAGCTTATTGTCATAAGCATCCTCTCTGGTGAACCTTGTGTCAGCCGAATTGATGCGTCTGTTGAAATCTACTTCTTGGATTTAGATTCTAACCCAAGTTTCAGGTTCAGGTTCAGGTTTGGTTTATTTGTCATATGCAAATCAACACAAAGTCAACAATGCAATGAAATGCTGAGGACGAGAAGAACCGTTTCAACTTGCCAAAAAAACAACAACAATAACTAGGAATACCAAAGCATGCAGCAAAAATACAAAAACAAGTTACAAAAGTGAAAAAGAAATGCATCTACAGTGTGGTTCAAGTATCATTGTACAAGTATCTTTCATATATCTGAAGCTTTAGCACTGCGTTGTTCCTTCATAGGAGTTGAGAGCTCTCTTTCACACCTCCTCCATGCAATAATTGACCCCAACAGGTGATACTGGAACTTTCATAGCCCATTTGTACTTTTGCCAATATTAACTGTTGTAATGAAAATAAGTGGCAGTGTTAGGTATAGCTCTGGTCTGGAGCATGATTGTTCCTGTTGTTCAGAGCTTCATCTTCACACCTCAGACTGTGTTGGCTAAATTTGTGGGTTCTGTAAGTGATGGGGGACAAACTGTTTATCAGTTGTTTGTTACAAAGCTGAAGCTGCTGCTGGTTGTTCTCTGTTACAATTCTTACGTCAAATGATAAAGTTAGTAGTAGTGGTCTGACAATATTCTAAGTCTGTTTTTAAAAAAATATATATTTTTTTTAGCAGACACCAGTCAGGATTACTTAATATACTGATGAAAGCTCATTAAATATTGGTTCAGCACAACTGTTTCAATTTTTTTCTTCTAATTTTTAGATCGTTTGAAGTATGAATCAAAGAAATCAAAGTCCAGTCATTTATCTGGTATGGATCCATCCACAGGTAGGTGTCCCTCCTGACACTTCCTCTGCCACACTGAGAGGACAGTATTATTAACTATTGTTTAGTGTAAAAACTGTCTTGTAAAATATAATGTAGTTTAAAGACATTGGTTTGTACTGACTAGGGGTGGGCGATATGTCTCAAATATATCGTGATATTTCAGTGCATTCTGACGATAATGATAAAATTTGTGATACAACCAAAAAAAAAAAAAAAAAACCCACAGAGATCATAGTTATTCATTTGACAAAATTAACTTAACATGTTGCTTTGCAGTATTATATATATATAAAAAAAAAACAAGGGTTCATTTTACTGAAATTATTTTATTTAGTAAAGTATTCAATCTCAAAGTATAAAAATAAAAAATAAAAATGATCCTTCTGTTATTTAGATTAAAAATGTCTGCACAAAATATAGATCAACTATCTATCACAAAAACTAAAGTGCAGGTGAAATTTCCTAAAATAACTAAATAAAATGAAGCTTAAGATCTTTTGAGCATAAATGTAACGTACAACAAAATATGTTTCTTTAAATGAGCTATAACTTCCAGAACTTGTAACAAGGTGATCATCTGACCTTGAAGCTTGTTGGTGTTTCAGCTTCTTCTGTTCCTGCAGGAATGATTCATTTCTGTGATGCTCTGTCTCTGATCACCTGACTCTGTTCTTGCTCCATGGACTGTGGAACTAAGAGAGTGTTGAGCTGCGCATGTTTGTACCGGCAGTTTAGAGTAGGGGGAGACGCAGCCGAGCTACACCCGCAACAAGTCTATTTTTGGGTTCTCTAGCTTTCGATTCACCGGCAGCTCACAGCGGGGTGGGGGGAGGAAGAGACATCTGAGCTGTCTTTACCTGCAGTTTAAAGCTGGGTGGAAAGACAGCTGAGACGCACGTTGTTTGTTTTTAGCATTTTAGCTAGCTAGTATTACGCGCAACTAATTAGTTACACCAGTACCTACAGGTGGAGGGGGGATGCACAGTTAAGCCCCCAGTATACTGCCGCGTACGTCCGTTCACGCGTACATACGTGTGTACTGTACACAGAGGGTTCAGACTTCATACTCCAGCGTACACCCCGAGCAGCTGCAGAGCAGCTTCACAGACGAGGGGCGTTTACCTTCGGGACAAATTGAGGTCGCCGATTGGTCATTTGCTGACACGCCTACTGGATTGATTGACAGGTCGGAAAAAATAAAAAAAACGAGCGCTGGCAGCCACAGCGGTGTTCTGTGTTCATATATTGTTAATAAAAAGATCTAAAAAAAAACAACAGTGAGTGCTGGCTCTACAGCCCACACATCAGAGCAGCCCACCAGGAAATCTCCAGACCCTCCCGCAGCCATACTGGACCTGAGTTTAATTCAGTCGTGACAAATTCCTCCATTTCTTACCATTTCAGTCATGGCATCAACGGAGGAGGAAGAGATCACTGCCTCTTGGCAAAAAAACAAAATAAAAGGCCAGATCAGAGATGAAGAAGGGGAATTTAATACATCGGTGTCGCATACAAAACAGTCCATCGCCGGGCAGTTTATTGTGCGACACCGCGTACGCGTATGCGGTCGTAAAAATTTGAGCTTTGCACAGACATGCCCTAGGGGGTATGCTCGTACCTCCGCGTACGTACGTGCGTACCTCTGCGTATGGACGTACGCGGCAGTATACTGGGGGCTTTAGGTTTGGTCGTTCGACACGCTCGGTTCTGTTAACAGGGCGGGGTGCCCTGGCATATTACGTCATGAAATTAGCATATCATAATATCATTTAATTTCCGGGCAAGGTTTTTTTTTTTACTGGTTTTATCGTGATCGATATGATCTGGCCCAGGCCCTAGTACTGAGGACTGGTCTGTTTGTATTTAACATTCACTGTAATATCTGTTAGCTGTGTTAGTTTTGTTACTGATTTTACACAATAATTATTAATGTTTGATATGTATAAGTACTTCACTGTGACGGTTCTGTTGTTTGTGTACAGGAGATCAGTACTCTGCAGCTTCAGTGGAGACTGCTTCAGATGATGCTCTGTTCAGAGTCAAACTCAGTCACATGGGCAAATGTAAGTCTGATTCAAATTAGTACTGATTTAAATAATTAACCCTGGCCTTTAAACTCATTGTCTTCTGTAGATACAGTCTAATTTGTCTCATTTCCCCCAGCAACAAGAAAGAAACTGTTTGAAATTGCCAGATCATTTTTTGAGAGGACAAAAAGAAGAAAGTCAAAAAGGATGCTCATGAAGTTACATTCATATCCTTTATATAAATTTCAAGGTTCAAGGTTCTTTATTGTCATTCACATCACATGTGGTACATGAGGTGGAACAAAATTATGTACTCAAGGTCACAGTTACACTCAAAAATAGCAAAAGTATAAAAAAACAGTATATAACGATCTAAGATGTATGCTACACTATAATAATGTAATATAACACGGCGCATTACAACAGCCAGAACATGAGTCTGTTGTGAGCAGATGGGTATGAATACAGCAGGTTAAATGCATGAAATCGGAAATCAAATTTGTTTGTTTGGCTTTGATTGAGGGACAGCTGATTCATTATAGGTGGTGTGATTTCTAGCTTTCCCACATTTTAAGCTTTTTTTGGGGGGGAGGGCATACTAAAGCCTACCGTACTTGCCGTCGTACATGTCGCATCGCCCTATAAGTCACATCAGTCCAAATATGTCTAATAAAGTGAAAAAAAAAAACTATTACGTCACTTCGCCATATACGTCGCATCTATTATGCATCATCGCTGACGCATTGCATTTGTTTTGTGTCATCGCTGACAACCCAGAAACGTGGGCCAGTGTTGTGCCAAAAATCAAATAATAGGGTGGTGAGCTTAGAATAGAGTTCTATAAAAGGACACCATCCTTATTGTAAGAAGTTCTTGGAACAGACCATTCCTAGAAGTTGGCTGGCATGACAGTTTAAAGAACCGATTAGAAGGTTACAGCAGATGGTTGCACTCTAAAGGCAATACTTTAGAACATGTTCAGACTGGTCTGAACCAGTTTAAGGCTGAGCTCAGCTATTAAAACATTTCACAGCCTCAGAACTAGGCTTAATAGTACGGGGAGTTGGAGAAGACACAGGACGTTATTAGACTTGCTTGTAAGGTTATTGAAGAAAGATTTGGACATCCCAAAAAGAATTCCTTTTCAGTCAAGATAGGAGCATCGCTTTTTTGTTTCAGCCCGGGATAAAGCCAAACCAGATCTTCTTCAAAACAGGACAGCTTTGTGAGCTTGGGGCACACTTTTCCAGGGCTCTAAAGGGATCTCACTTGCCTTTAACCAAAGATTTCTTCAGAGACGGAAGAAAATATTGTAAGAGATGCCCTGCTTTACAGTTCTTCTAAATATTTTATACAAAATAATAACAGTTAAACCAACAATCAAGGTAATCAGATTAATATTATCAACACTCTGGGACCTCTGTTCTGAAGCCATCCATACAATTCAATTCAGTTTATTTATATAGCGCCAAATCACAACAAAGTTGTCTCAGGGCACTTTACCGAAACATTCACATACATAAAAGCCGATTAGTAAAGTTCTCTATCTAAGAAATCCAGCAGACAAGTTGAATCTTGGCTTTGTTGCAGTTT